GGAGAGGGCGCGCAGCGGTGAGTGCGGAATGCGCATCCCTCGGCGCTTCGCAGAGCAGCGCCGCGCAGCGTAGAGCAGCGCAACGCCCGCGACGGGGCAGAGGAGCCGGGACGGGCTGCGCCGCCGGGACCCCGCCGTCATGCGGGAGGGATGGGCACCGGTTTGGGCTTGGGGATGGATTTGGGGATGATGCTTCTGCATGGGTTTGAGTATGGAGATTCTGCATGAGTTTGGGGATGGGGATGCGATTCTGCATGGGTTAGGGATGGGGCTGAGCATTAATTCAACCAAGTAGGGTTGTGGTTGTACACGGAGATGAAGTTTGCATGTTGGTCTGAGCACGGGGTTGTGCCTGGAATGGGGATAGGGTTTGTGCGTTGGTTGGGGAGTGGGGTTGTGCGCTGGTTTGAGCACGGGGCGGTTACATGGGATGGGGATGCAGATGGAAATTAACGGAGCAAGGGCTGTGCATCAGTTGTTTAATGGAGATGGGGCTCTGCATGGGTTTGAGCGTGGAACCAGGGATGAGGACAGTGCTTGTGCATGGAGTTGAGGTTGGGATGGAACTGGGAAAAAGGGTTGCCGATGGAGAGAAGTATGGGGCTGTGCATGAGCACAGGGTCGGACATGGCAATGGAGTTGCCCATGCAGTCGAGGACGGCGCTCGGGGCTGGGAATGCTGTTGGGGTCGGGGTGCGAGGCGCAGACCCGCCGGGACAGGGCGGACAGATCTCTGGGAACCCTCCGCCACCTGATGCGCTGCCCGACAGCGGGGCCGGGGCTTGCAGCGCAAGTTTGGGGACAGCTTCTCCGCGCAGCATCCCCGGGACCGGGAGGGAGAAGCTCCGCCAGAGCCTTTGCAGCCCGAAAAACTCCATGCGACACCGCCACGGGCTGGGACGCGGAGGGAGCGCGGCCGCGGTCTCTTCCCGTCGCGGTGCCTGTGAGAGGCGGCTCAGCCCCGGGCTGCCCCGGCGCTCCGAGGCCGGCTGAGCTCGGCATCGCGGTCCCCCTTCATATCCACGGATCTAACGATAGTAATCAAATAAACACATTTACGCACTTAACGATATATTTTATATCTATATATATATCTGTACGTATACGTTGTGCCCTGCCGGCGAAGTTCGCTTGGGTCGGGGAAAAAAAAAAGAAAGAATTAAAAAAAGACAAAAGAAAAAAGAAGAGAAAAAAAAAGAGAAAAAAACCCAACCCTGATCGAATAAAATGAAAAGACAAACGGAAAAGCAACCCCAGCCTCCTCCCGTGCCTGTCGCCGGCGGCCTCAGCGGGGGAGAGCGGCGGATGGGAGTGCGGAGCCCCCGGACACCCCCAAACCCACACACAAGCCCCATCCTCAGGTCCAGCAGGGGCCGTATCCTGCCGGCAGCCTTTACAGGGAGATTTTTTTTCTGAAAACTGGTGGGGAAACGGCGGGGGAGCGAGGCGGGAAGGGGGGAGTATGCTCCGATGGGAGGGTGGGCACTGCCCGGCTTGGGGAAACCGGGGAAGAAATGCGCACAGGTCCTGGGAAGTTTCAGCGCAAAACGAAACCAGATGAACTGTTCAAAAGGATCGCCTTATCTGCTCCTTGCCGGGGTTTTAGATCTGCTTAATAATAATAGCATTAATAATAGTAGCGATAACCATAATAGCAAATGTCGGGGAGAAAGGTCTTTCCCACCCGGAGGAAGGTGCGGGGGGAGCCCAACGGCGCTGCCCGTGGGACGGGGGTGTCGGGCAGGGCTCTGCCGGCAGCAGGTCGGGGGGCTGGGCACAGCAGCAATTTTGCAGCATGCCCAGCTCAGGTTTCTTGTTAGTGAGAGAGAAAATAAAAAACCAGCCCTCCCAGAACTCATTCATCTCTTCTCCCCACCTCCACCTCCTTTGATTTGTGGCGTTGGGTTTTTTTGTTTTTGTTTTTTTGTTTGTTTTTTTTTGTTTGTTTGTTTTTTGTTTGTTGTTTTTTTTTTTAATTCACATTGAGTATATTTAATCAGTGCCAGAAACTGCCAAGTGTGCGCTGGGGCTTTGAATCCACCAAAAAGTGACAAATTCAGGCTGGGCTCACTTTCAGCCTCTGGGAGTGCCGCTATCAGACACCCCGAGGCACAGCGTCTGCGTCCCTGACTGTGCCCGTCTGCGTGGCTAGGGCTGGTGGTGGGGGACGACACTTAGGGCTGAAGAAATTGGTGACAACCTGCAGACTGGGGATGGTACAAGTTCAGATGCAGCTTTCCTTGCCAAAGCAACGGTGCAGGACAGCGATACAGCTGGGAGCACCGAAACACCCGAGAGGAGGCAGGGAAGCCACCTCCGGGATGCAGGGAAGAGAGCTGATGAGAAAGCACTTCTCCGTATTGATTCGTCCCTCCCTCTCCGCCTCCTCCTCCCCATTTTTTTTGGTGCCTCCAGGCAGGGTGACGCTCCCAGACAGGGCACAATGGCTGTGTCCCGGTCGGGATGCTCAGCCAGCCTTGCTGAGGGCGATGATCTCCCCCGTTAGCTCTGTGTCCCTTGCGCCTCCGTAATGAGAGCTTGGCTTCAGCTTGCTGCGTTTTTTATATTTTTTCCTTTTTTCCCCTCTTTTTTATTTTTTTTTGTTTTATCTCTTCCAGATGCCTCCCCATCTGCCCCCGAGCAGCAATACCTCTTCGACATCTCCAGCCTGCCCGAGGCAGAGGAGGTGACCGGCGCTGAGCTGCGGGTCCTGCGCTCCCTCCCTGAAAACCGGAGCTTGGCCCTGTCCCCCGAGGGCACCTTCCACCACCTCCTCCTCTCCACCTGCCCGAGCCGGGACGGCGAGGAGCCTCGGCTGCTGGACTCCCGGGCTGCGGGAAGTTTGGACGCCGG